CTGACCAAGGGGCCAGCCCTTCGTTCGCCAGTGATAACCAAATGAGCCTTCCACCACCCAATAGACCCTGATTCCACCCCCACTTTTCCTTCCTTGACCACTTCTAGGTATCTGACCTGCAGACCAGGAACTACCCCAAGAGCTGCAGTTTTGGAGATGCTCAGGTGCTCTGACCCAGTCGTCTTGCCATCACAATGTGGCCCTTGTCAAAGTCGCTCAAATCCTCACACTGCCCATTTTTCCTGCTTCAAACACATTAACTTTGAGGGAAAAATGTTGACTTGCTGCCTAATATATCCCACCCACTGACAGGTGCCATGATAATGAGATGATCAGTCTTATTCACTTCACCTGTCAATGGTCATAATGTTATGGCTGCGCCGATCAGCCACTAACGATTGATGCACAAAATGTTATCATATACAAACACATTATATACAAAATGCACATGCTACTGTATGTATGTCCACTAAGATTCTATGTTTTTGCCCCTGACAGAGAACCTTTGTTTAACCATAAAAACGGCCATAATATCAATATAGCTCACTATAATCCAGAGACAAAAAAGGAAACTTTACCTTCCATATTTCTGTAACATCATATTGTCATTCAAAGTGGACAGAAACAGAATAAAACTGTTGGTCTTTCCACTGTTCCAACAATTACTACTTTAACTCTTCTTTAGTCCAAATAAATCATTAATTCACAGAGGTAGATGAGAAAAACAGCAGTTTTAGTCGCCCTACTCAGCTGCACATGGAGCAGACCGGCTGAGTAAACAAACCACAAAGAGGCTGTAATAGCAACACAGTCAAAGGAAGTGTATTCTCTGCTCAGGACACCATCACTGTATCTATACATAGCAAATAGTTGTTTACTGCTATATTAATGTTTAAAATATATTATTATTATACATATACTGTATAACATTTAACTGAAATCTAACTATGTATGATTGTAGTTACAAAATATAGCTATTGAACAATGAGAGAAGTAGATAGTTGAAGTGATGTCTGCAAAACTGGAGGTCAGGGGAAAGAAGGAGAGACGTTAAGACATTTAAAGGAATATGGTAAAGGGGCTTGTGGACAGATAGAGAATTGGCAATTGGGTTGATAGGATGTGTGAAGAAAAGCCTGTACCCACAAAGCAGCTGGAGTGGCTGTGTGTTTGGGGCCACAGGGATGGATGTGCATTTGTGAGTGTCTGTGTGTGTGTGTCTGTGGGTATGCGTATGTGTATGAGAGAAAGAGAAAGAGAGCGAGAGCGAGAGAAAGAGAGATAGTAGTTACAGGTTAGTGGAAAATTCTCAATGGTTCTATTACACAACCTTGTTTGACCTGGGGGACTGCTTGATAGGTCTATTAGCTCATAGTCAGGGTACCAATGCTGCCAATGGGACCTATATACAGAGACTTTAACGTACACACACACTCACATGCACACCTACACACACACACACACACACAAAGCCCATAAAAAGCGCAGCCTGTGGCCATGGCGACACATGCTCTGTTGTCGTTAGATAAGGGAAACAGGGCCTCTTCCTGGGTGTGAGAGTTTGATCCTACACACACTACACACACACAGACAACATGCGCACACTCAGCTGCATCAGCACTGGGGTCACATGCACCAACGCCCAGCATCTTATGTATCCTCACCTTTATCAGCTGCATGGCTCATTTTCATATGCAAAACCCAGGCTATGTTTATCTGGACACACTGTGCTCCCGTCAGCGGACCACATACATTAGACGGCATGATCAGATATCGAAAAGATACACGGAGCAGCTGGCCGTATCTCTCAGAGGGATTTTGATGGAATTCTTTTTGGAATTTGCTGGCCCTGTGCCATCCTAGAAAGTATTTAGTAAGAGGAATCGGTAACATGAATCATTGCAGCGTTGAATTTCTTCAAAGGACTGTTTTAAAAGTGTTTAAAAGACGACTGGCATTTCATTTCCAGCTGATTCTGTTAAAGAAATATTTTGTTTTATTGTCAGCACTGGTGCGATCTATCAGCTCACATCTAATGAGCATCAGCTCTGTTTGTTATGATTAGGTCTAAAGCATTCCACAGTGAAACAATACAGATACACACAAACACACAGTGCCCTTCCCATCAGCGGCTTGAAAAAAAAAAAAGCAATCTTTTTCACAAAAGACATAATACAGGTTCCAACCGCTTCCGGCTCCACCTATACATTGTGATGTGTAAAAATAAAAAGGCAGGCTGAAGCTCTCATTCATCCATTTTCTGTTGCACTGAAGCAACCACAAAACAGAAGCAACAGTCAACAGCAGAGATGGGAGGAGAGATTGAGGAGAAACGTAGTGTGCGTGTGCGCGTGTGGAGGGAGGCCAGGTGGGGTGGTGCTAAATAAGGTTTTGTTTCCACTGTGAACTCGGGTTCACTACGAGTTAGTGAGTTCACAACAGGATAAAATCTAAACGGTGATGGTGACACATGATAACAAGTTTTAATAGGAGCCGAGAATGTTTTTAAATCAGCTTTTGTGTTTATTCTATTGTATTTATCATCAAAATTATTCCATAAAGCAGTCATTTCTAATAATTATATGATTTCTGTTCAAAATGCAGGAACTCAAGGCAAACCGAAAATCCAAAACAGTCAAGCCTTCGATACAAATATTTTATTTAACTTTTGACTTGTATCCATTACTTTCTGTGGATTTACAGGTGTTCTTGTAAGATATTTGGAGAGTGGCTATAATCAATATTTTAATATAAACAATCCCATGACTACATTTATGTGAGAGGGGTCGCTTATAGTGTTAAACCCACAGAGAGACCCACAGCTCTGCAGTTCCCCTCACTTCCCTAAAAACCAACTGTATGGTACCTGCCCTGCACCAAATGGCAGACAAAGTCTAGTCTGTGACTAGAGGTGAGCATAGTGGAGCATCTAGCTGCTTAAGAGCAAGATACCTCCCTCAGGAGTTGGTGGCGACCAAAACAGAGTAAATGTTTATTAGTTGGCCAGAAACATGACTGCAAACGGATGCTAATGTTACATTTGCCAAATGAAATTAAGAGGTGATACTGTCAGTACTGGGACAAAAATATGTGTTATTGCAGGTTTAAGTTCCAACAGTCAAATGTACTTTTGTGTATCCAGGTGCAGCTATAGGTCAAAGTTCCTCTGCCTGATGTACTAAAACATAGCTGCACTGTTTCTGTTGACATATAGTCTGATTGTCTGCTATCAGTGTATTCAGTCTGTCTGTGCAGTATCTAAAGCAGAGAGCAAAAGAGGTCATAAACATGGAATACGCCATGTGTGAGTGCATGTGCAAAGGTATAACAGAAAAAAAAATTATGTCAGACCAAAGTGCCACCCACATGGCCTCCCTCATCCTGCCGCGGTGGCCTTCAACAGCCTGCCTGCTAACCAGTGCTGGGAAACACCTTCTTAGCATCAAGCACAAGAACATCACATGCAATTAGCAGCTAGGCCCAGCAGGTGCAGTAGTGCTATACTTAAAATCATGGCCACTACTAGAAGGAAAGTGGTTATCCCACCAGTCTACCTGACACTTACACTGTCTGGTCTGGGGTGAGAACGCGTGCGTGATTGCATGTACAATATGTGTACAGTAAGTGAATGTCTATGTGAGTCTATGTCAGTGAGGTTTCTCTGGCAGCAGGAGAGGATGCAGAGCACAAGCCACTTTTAACTGACTGGGGTAAACAGCGATGAGAGAAGATAAAGGGCAGAGTGAATGTCACATTACCCCAGCCCTTTGCCTCTGCTCACCGCAGCATCAGATAACTGCAGCAGGAAAAAAAGTCTGGTTTCCTCTAGCATATAATTGGTTATCTTATTGCAATCTACTGCTCTCTTGCCTCTGCACAGTATAAAGTATGAAAGAGCAAAGGGAGAAGAAGAAAAAAAGCTGAAGTCTGATTGTTCTGGCAGTGACTAAAATAAATCATTACGAGCATAGGACACATCAACCTATTTCTATGGGTGTCTTCTTTGTTGGGAGAAATACAAAAGGCTTTGGCTGTGTGTTGAATTCAGTCTCCTTCAGGCACCAACACGGCATGGACTTTAAGATGCAGCATAGAACTTACAGTTATAGAAGGTGGGAGGGAAGTGTTACTGTTACTGATAATCAGGTTGTGGTGTGTTCACTTGCAAAGAGAATAATTATAGCACTAGTAATACATGCACAGATCTTTACACGAAAACACTGTACAGTTTTAAAGGAAAGCATGCTACAATATTACCAATAAGATCGTAGATTAGTGTAGTTTTAACAAATTATATGAAATTCACAGGAAGTAACATTGCAACATCATTCTGATAGCAGACTGCCTGAAGAAATATCTACGTGTTATAGTCTGGGCAGTATTTGGGTCTTCTCTGTAAAAAAAAATCTGTATTATAGTTGTTTATACATCATTAAATAAAAAAGTTGTTAAAGATTAGCTGTTAAGATGTCAAAGGTGTTTTCAAATTCAGACTTAATTTGTTTCTATGGAAGCCCACACATGGTGACCTGACTATAACAACTACAGAGGCGTATTTTGCACCTTTGCATGTTTTCACACATATGTTGCTGCAATTAAGAAACACAACTCTTGACATCATCTGTGAATTCCAGTAAGTGTGCCTGTTTTTGAATGCAAATAAATACAATATTTGCAGTGTGTGGTGGAGAATATGAAATAATTAGTTTTTCACGCATGCATGTATAAAACATTACAATATGTGCATGTGTGTGTTCTTGCAGGTTGCAGTTTAAGTAAGTATGCCTGCCCATTAAGAGCAATCACAACTCTCAGTTTGGAACCTCCAAAACCCCACCGGGCCCAGGCCGGTACCTTGAAGTACACCTTTCTAAATCAATTGGCTAGCACAAACAGACGAGGTTTTAGAAATTGGACGCTTGGCTACTGTATCTCACCACAGCAGTGGGCAGTCTTTTCCTAGCTGGATTGATGCCTGGAGGGGGGGCAGTGTGGAGCCTAACCCCTCGTTCACCCACACTGTACCGGGCCTGTGGTTTGAGAGAAAGACAGCAGGGAGAGAAAGAGAAGAGACAGAGAAGACAAAAGTGGGGAAGGAAACGAGATGGCGGGGCTTTAGTTTGCAAGATACAAGCAGGGCATTTGTAAAGGAACATGTCAAGGGCCCCCCTTTCCTCGAGAACCTTTCCCTCCTTCTCCCTTTCTCTGGTTGCTCTGCTCTTCCCCTCAAACCCAGCACACGCGTGCTGGGGGAGGAGTAATGACATGAGACTTACACAGTGACTCTACACAGCACCATGCTAGGGGAAGAATGGAGGTTAATGAGCTGACTTCCCCTCCCCCCGGAACACGCCTCCTCCCTACTCTCTTACACACACTGACAAGCATATAGACAAACCCCCTATAAGACAGTGGGACTGAACTCTGGCACTTAGCCAAAGATCTGGCGACTACAGGAGTACCATGGAACAACAAGTGGATTTAGACTGTCTCCATATACATTAAATAGAGCTCACAACAATCGTTGGGTTATGAACAACTGTGAGAGTAATACAATAACTTACATTATAAATATGACCTGCAAACATCAGCTCACATAATCAAAACCAGCTATATCAGCTATAATAGTGGCCCAATGGGCGGACATGCTCATTACACGTGAAAAAGGACAAGGATTACACGTGTGAGGAAAAAATTGAGGTGTTGTCACCTAAATCTAAAGGGTTCATCCAGCATATACTAGCAGTTTTAGTCATCAAGTTGAACTTTTTACTAGCAAGTGGCACAACCAAAGTCACTGGGATTCATTGTCTGAGGATAAATGTTTGCACCAAATAGGGCTGCACAATTAATAACATTATTGAAATCGCAATATGGACAAGTGCAATAACCAAATTGCAAGAAGCTAGAATTTTTTGATAAAGGTAAAATGTGTGTCAAAAAAGACTTATAATGAAGTACTGTAGTGCTGTAGAGATGCCCTGACCTACAGTTTTGTAAACATGTTTGTTTGGTACAGATCGCCACAAAATGTTAAAATTGTGATTCTAATCGTGAATCAAAGTGTTTTTCCGAAAGGCAGTCAGATGGACCAACTAACACTGACACCCCAAGAGTCACACTGCCAGGATGGCTGAAACACAGTCCAACCACGTGTCAGTATCTTACAAAACACTACACAACCATACAACAGTTGTTGACTTGTTAAGGATAGACAGCTCTTGCACCCCGACCACAGACCACGGCTGAACACATTATGCTATTATAGTACATACAGTGCTGTGAATAACTGATCAGACCTTCAGATGCTCCCCCATTTCTTGGTTGTCACGTGGTGATGTGTGGGTGTATATAATGATAAATAAAACCTCAGTGGCCTTTAAGTTGCATCATCGGAAAACCAACATGTAAAGGTGACAATTTTTGACAGATAAGAGTTGAAGCATGCACAGACATAAATAAAAGACAAAAAAACAAGTGGGGTTCAAAGGAATGCTTTAGAAAACCCTTCAGTAGATACAAATTGTGCTGAATGCAAATTAATGTAAACAAATGACATTTGCATGAGCCTATCTGAGGTTGAATAAACACATGCAGGTGCACTTAACACTGATATGAGGCAGATTTATTAGTTTGCCAATGAGACATACTAAGACTGCTGTTGTTTGATCTATGTATAACATAAGCCCTTGCTATTCATATAACTCCATACTGGCCTGATGCATGCCTGGTTGACAGCTCCATTACACTCTCCACACCCCTTCTTGAGAGGCTGGACTAAGCTACAGGCTTGCATTACTGGAGTTTGAGATATTTAATTTTTTTAAATAAAATGTCAATGGACGGTATCCTACTGTAATAGATGATGGGCCTTAATTACCTCAAATAAAACAAGTAAAAAATTTAAAAAGCACAATGGTAAATGACATCCTTCATAAAAAAAAAAACATTACCAAAAGCAGAAACAGAATTGATAATGGCGCAGTGAAGCACTTTTACAGAGCTTGAAAACAATGGAAGATGGATGGCTAGTCATTAGCGCCCATTGTGAATCTTTCCAGTGAGTAATTTGTGGAAAGGCTTGTGCATTTTTAATATTCTTAAACTGAAGAGCCCTAAGAACACAAACTCCATAAAATAATAACAGGCATTTCACCTTAGCACTATCCGAGCTTCTCAATTATTTACCACTAATGAATTGCCTCGGGCAATATTCTTCCTAAGTACAATATCAACCATCCCAGAGAGGCTGAATCAGCTCGCTCAAATACTTAAATACATTTACTCAATTATGCTCACTGTCCCTAATATGAAAGAGACAAGGATGTGCAAGCATATGAAACAGTAGCTTTTTTCCTACTGTTTCATATCTGTTTCATTCAGCCTTGATATTTTCAACAAAGTCAACAACAACAACTCCTATAATGATTAATTGATATAACATTTTCATCGAAGAAGCAATGACATTTCTTAAAAATTCCTCTATTTTTGCATCTGTGGTGTGGGAGGATACAATAAAAGGACATTTGCTGTTGTTGTGGTGTCTAGCCTCAGTAACATAACAGTACTGCAGGCCAGTTGCCAGGCATCCACCAGACTTTGCGCTTCACAGCCTAACATGCCACCTAGAATATCTTGACCATGTTGGCTGAGGGAGCCTCAGAGTGTGGGGCATCACACCACCAGCCCCCAAGACAGGTAACCAACAGGTAGGAAAAAGATGGAAATGAGCAGGAAGAGTATGGTACCAAGTCAAAAGTATTAAAAGTAGTCATGAAGAGCAATAAAGCCACCAAAGACCGTGTAAGTACAACCCCACAGTTGCCAGTTTATTTCAAAACAAAGTCTCTGCAAAGCGCATAAAAATTTTGAATAACCTTAAGTATATAAACCCATCACCTAAGTGAATGTAAATAGATTCTACCATCTGCTAGCTTGATGCCTAAGGGACAACTTCATACTGTTGTGTTTTCTATGTGTCTATCTATGTGTTTGTGTACTTCAGTGTACTAACTCTAACAAACTCTTAATTAAAACTAAGTACAGAGAACAAGAGTGCTTTTTTAGATATCTCACACGAGACAATCACGTGACAATAATTCCACAAATGGGCATATGTTTTTTTATTGCACATTTCACATTTAAAATATAAATAATGTGTAAAAATCTTCTTTTTTTTTTTTTACAACAGCTGGTTAGTTGAATTTATGATTTTCACATACTTAATTCGTTAGATAATAAATCTATATGAGCTAGATGCTATAGATAAGTGTGTGTGGAAGTGTTATAGTCCTGCAAGTTTGTGCCTCTTTTTCGTCTTTTTCGTTGCTTATAAATGCACATATTTTATATCTGCAGTCCACTCTCAAAGTAACAAACTGAGCATTCTGCTCTATTTTTATGATCGACATTGTTATCACCATTTAATCAGAAAAATGTCACAACCATGATCCCTCCATTGCGTAACAGAGCGGTTCAGGCCTGACAAGCTTTAGTCAATTCCATGCTATCCGGATATAATCATCAGTCTTTGGCTGTAACTACACCAGAAAGAAATTTAAGTGCAAAGGATCCCGTTCCTAGACAGCTGGTAGTTGTAAATTCCTATCAGGGAATAAAAAACAGAGAGGGAGAGAGAGAGTTTGAAAGAAAACATATACTATTTTCATTTCAACTGCTTTAGGGATTAAGACTTGGGGCTCTATAAAAAAATGCATTAAAATAATCCACCATTTGCATGTTTTATCTCACAAAGGAGGCTCACATAGACACACATACACACCAACCCCCACTCTTCCCTCCCTTCTTCTCCTCCTTCCCCTCCCCCATTCTGGGTGAGTGCACACACACGTTCATATGCACGACATACACATATACACACTGTCATCATTAAACACACACACGCGCACACACATCGTGATCAACCTGCTGCCATCTGCTCTACGCGCTCTGTACAATCCTCGCAGAATACATTATTCACTACAATACATCACATCACATTCCCTCAATGTCATAGCCTTGTGCTGTAGAAGAGTGAGAGAGAGAATGGAGGAGAGCGGAGAGCAAAACAGCTATTGTACTCTGAAGAGAGAGAGAAACGGGGGGGGGATTTGGTCTGTTACATGGTACAGTGGTAGGGAAAATTAAAGACAGTTTGATTTGGCTTTTAGGTGAAACAAGGTTGTCAGCGAAACTTGTTCCAGTTACAGCTACCAGGCTAGATTAAAAATCCAGACAAGGAGACTAGTGTATGAAAGTGAAGGATTAGAGTGGCTGAGAAAGTGAGAGAAAGAGAGAAAGAGAGAGAGAGAGAGAGAAAGACACCTGGCATAACTGGCAGGAGAATATATAGTATTACTTCTTGTCATACACAGAGGCATGCTTTAGAGTAGGGTTTTTTTCTTTAGTTCTGCAAGTGTTTTCAAGTGCTAAAGGTTAAGGTAGGTGTTACAATCCAATGAGAAACCAAAACCAACAATGTGTTAGTCCATCTCTCGTTACTTTCTAACTTTGCTAACCAGTCTGCCGCTCTCCACAACAGCATCTGTTCCTATAGAAAATGTATTAAAACAAATATATAGTTTTATTTCTTTTTAAATAGCTGCTCTCATCAATATTTTATATGCAGGACGGATCAATAAAGCACAGAGAATTATCTATAGAGCATTTTAGTGCCTTTAAGCTTATTGTTTCGGTTTTACAACCCACGACTTGTACTGTTTTGGTTGACTCTCACCACTTTATTATTAGCGATGTCTTCAGCCACAGCATACAACTATTTGTTTGCAAAAAATGCTTACTGCTCAGGGCCAAACAACAAGGAGGCAAATTTAGCGACTTGCTGGTAAACATAGTGAAGCGTTTAGCAGCAATAAAGCCAAATGTTGGCGGACAGCAACACAGAGCTAAAGCAGAGTAAATATTGGGTTTACATTTTCCAAGTGGACAGAATCACAACTCCAAATGAATTTTAATGTTCTATGTCGGCAAGATATGTAACCAGGCAACTGTTTGCTATAAAGTTTATGAA